TGAGTTCATGGTATAATGTTTTTTTTCATCAAAGAAAAATTTCATGGTCTGTACTTTCCATTGAATGGGAATGGGAAAATGTGAAAAGTTGCATTTGTCATCATGGACAGCGTTCATGAGACTGCAGGTTCTGGTTTATACTAGTTTATTTTAGAGATTTACTGAAGAGAGTTACGGACGGTTTTACTTTATAGCAACTTGATGTTTTTATTCGGGTGTTAAAATCAACAGCATGTAACACGTGTACAAGATATGATGATAAAGTTTCTCCGAGATCTGGACAACTCGGACAACTATGAAAATTATGCAACAGTTTTCAAGACAGGTTCCACTTTGAAGTGTCGTCTTTGCCTCTTGGTTTACCTTACATTTTCGTGTATTTATTATTTACATTTTAACAATGTAATTTGCTTGTATCTACATATATATGAATTAGTTTATATTTTAAGATAAGCAATTAGAAATTCTCTGATAAATTGCGTGAGAGTTTGCAGTTTGCACATTTGGGCGAAAGGAATTGTGTCTTAGTCACAAGCTCAAATTTTAATCCCTATATCTTTGCAATCTGCAGGTTTAAACATTTGATATTTCAAACTTATAGATTAATTGATCTAATAGAATTTATATTTTGAAATATTTAAGGTCTCTGAGTTTGGGTTGAAAAGATATAGGGATTAGAAAATCAGGGTTTGTGGCAAAATTGTGGGAGATTATTTCCCATTGATAAATACCGAGTAAATAGTAGGACTGGGAGCTGGGAGATTATCTCCCATTACTAAATACCGAGTAAATAGTGGGACTGGGAGCTGGGAGATTATCTCCCATTACTAAATACCGAGTAAATAGTGGGACTGGGAGCTGGGAGATTATCTCCCATTACTAAATACCGAGTAAATAGTGGGACTGGGAGCTGGGAGATTAACCCCCATTACTAAATACCGAGTAAATAGTAGGACTTGGAGCTGGGAGATTATTTCCCATTACTAAATACCGAGTAAATAGTAGGCCTGGGAGCTGGAAGATTATTTCCCATTACTAAATACCGAGTAAATAGTGGGACTTGGAGCTGGGAGATTATTTCCCATAACTAAATACCGAGTAAATAGTAGGCCTGGGAGCTGGAAGATTATTTCCCATTACTAAATACCGAGTAAATAGTAGGAATGGGAGCTGGGAGATTATTTCCCATTACTAAATACCGAGTAAATGGTAGGACTGGGAGCTGGGAGATTAATTCCCATTACTAAATACCGAGTAAATAGTAGGAATGGAAGCTGGGAGATTATTTCCCATTACTAAATACCGAGTAAATAGTAGGACTGGGAGCTCTGAAATTATCTCCCATTACTAAATACCGAGTAAATGGTAGGCCTGGGAGCTGGGAGATTATCTCCCATTACTAAATACCGAGTAAATGGTGGGACTGGGAGCTGGAAGATTATCTCCCATTACTAAATACCGAGTAAATAGTAGGCCTGGGAGCTGGAAGATTATCTCCCATTACTAAATACCGAGTAAATAGTAGGACTTGGAGCTGGGAGATTATTGAGATTATTTCCCATTACTAAATACCGAGTTAATAGTAGGAATGGGAGCTGGGAATTTTTTTGGCATAAAATATGTACATTGAATCAGGAAAGCCGGAGCACGTTGAAAAAACAGGAATTTTCCCTTTGAATTTGGAAACTGTTTTAGAAAAATGTAAAAGTCCTTTGATGCTTTTTTATAACACTAACTTAATTAATAGTCATGTATTTCCTTCATATTTTATTATTTTTATCTTGTTTGGCCAATTAACAAATATATCATTTACGGGGACACATTCCAAACAGGTATAAGAATTTCGAAAACTATAAAAATCATGCAATTTTCATCATTTTGAATCTATATAATCGTGGTGACCACTGTAATGTTTGTTTATTGTATCACTATATTGTTGTGACAACTGTAATTTTTGTTAATTGTATCACTATATTGTTGTGACCACTGTAATGATTGTTTATTGTATCACTATATTGTTGTGACTACTGTAATGATTGTTTATTGTATCACTATATTGTTGTGACCACTGTAATGATTGTTTATTGTATCACTATATTGTTGTGACTATTGTAATGATTGTTTATTGTATCACTATATTGTTGTGACCATTGTAATGATTTATTTTTCATGAATTAAACAAAGAAGTTTTGCATCACTAGAAAATTAACTGAGTAGAACACAAGATATTTTAAGACTAAAATTGTTATTTTTGTTCAATAAGAAATAAACTATTTTAATACAACCTCATTTAAAAGTAAATTTATACTTTAAAATCTTTTTCTCTTTCTTTCTTTTGTAAATTGTTGTTGCAGTGTTGGTATGCTGTGGGATGTGTGTCCTCTGTACCTGGCTAAGGTCCAGGTAAACTTGACCGACACACTACAATAGCTTAGTTTACAACCGACCTGGCAGACTATAAGACCAGTGTAATGTGTCAGCTGTAAAGGAATTGAGTCTTTGTCACAAACTCTGATTTTCTAATTCCTTAATATTTGAGATCCGATGTAGTAGACCTTAGATATTTCAAACTATGTATACTGTTAGATCAAGTAATCTATAAGTTTAAATATCAACGGTTTAATTTTCTGGTTTTAAAGATATAAGAATTAGAAATTTTGAGTTCGTGGCAAAGACTCATTTACTTTACAACTTATTTGTAAATGAATTGAGTCAGATTTTCTAATCCCCATATCTTTGCAAACCAACGGTAGACCTTAGATATTTCAAAGTGTGAATACCTTTACATCAGATAATCTAAGTTTAAAGTATCAAAGGTTTACAGCATCATGTTGCAAAGACATAGGGATTAGAAAATTAGCGTTTGTGACAAAAACCCAATTCTATTGTATTTTTTGTATTCACCTTTGAAACATATATACGTGTACATTTATCCCTCCCAAATTTAAATAAATCACGTTATAATGAAGTTTTCCTTCTTTCCTCCATTTCTTTAAAGAGCTATTGCGACGAATAAAATAGTAAATAGTAAATAGTAAATAGTATGTAACTTTATGTAAATTTGTAGTAACTAGTATGTAACTTTATGTAAATTTGTAGTAACTAGTATGTAAATTTATGCAAATTTGTAGTAACTAGTATGTAAATTTATGTAAATTTGTAGTAACTAGTATGTAAATTTATGTAAATTTGTTGTAACTAGTATGTAAATTTATGTAAATTTGTAGTAACTAGTATGTAAATTTATGTAAATTTGTAGTAACTTGTATGTAAATTTATGTAAATTTGTAGTAACTAGTATGAAAATTTATGTAAATTTGTAGTAATTCTAGTATGTAAATTTATGTAAATTTGTAGTAAATAATATGTAAATTTATGTAAATTTGTAGTAACTAGTATGTAAATTTATGTAAATTTGTAGTAACTAGTATGTAAATTTATGTAAATTTGTAGTAACCAGTATGTAAATTTATATAAATTTTTAGTAACTAGTTTGTATATTTATATAAATTTCTAGTAACTAGTATGTAAACTTATGTAAATTTGTAGTAACTAGTATGTAAATTTATGTAAATTTGTAGTAACTAGTATGTAAATTTATGTAAATTTGTAGTAACTAGTATGTAAATTTATGTAAATTTGTAGTAACTAGTCTGTAAATTTATGTAAATTTATTCTCTTTTCATATAATTGTGCGTAAAATTAAAACTATAATAGGCGACGAGGTTACTAAGTCGTAATTTAGCATAAATTTGACTTTCTCCAAATGTCTTGATTGGAGTAAAATACATAAATTGACACCTTAAACTTAACTTTTTTATTCATTATTCATGTTTAATTCTGTTGGCAACAATTATAAGCTAACTGTTAATAGTAATTTTGCAGTTAAATATCACAAATGAATATTCTAATTATGATAAAAATAGTTTGTAAACTGATATTGCAAATGTCTAATGCATAATGGGTTACCAAATAAATTTACTTTTCTCATATCTTGTGCAAAAAGTCGCAAAGTCGCACTGTAAGCAATGTCGCATAAGTGGAAGGACACGCGTAACATAAACGAACACTTTAAAATAAAAATCTATTAAGAGAATAAAAGAAAAAATGAAATCCATGTTCATGTAACTCTATAACATATGTTCTTCTAACATTTTTAGAGTTTTGTGAATTTTTTTATTTGAAATTACAGGATTGTTTTTAAATAAGTACATTTATACCCATAGAGAATAGAATATATAGAGAGGAATTTACTAGAAAAAAGTGTAAAACGGCCATTTTGTTGTACTGTTTCCATACTGCAGGTGTACTTCACATATTTATGCTATATAACCTGTTGGGCCCTGGAATATCATTTTAAAAAATCTAAAATTATTGTTAAAAGAAAACCAAATTATGAAATAGGCTGGTTTCATAATTGACAAATGATCATTTCACATAGACTCTATGCCTTCCACTTTACAAACGATGATTTTCCGTTATAACTAATCCTCAAATGATGTTTTTATTCACCTAATTCGTTATAAAGTTTATTTAACAGTTTAAAAAATTCGAAATTGAAATGGATAGTCTAGGGAACATACTGTATTAATGTACTCTACTGCATATAATTTGTGAACATTTACATGATTTGTATACTTTGAACTCCCTTTCAGGCTGAAAGGGACTGAAAAAATTCATACCGAGAGATTCTTTTAATTCCTCTCTATATATTCTATTCTCTATGTTTATACCTTTACATGTACATGATGAATCATGGTGTTACAGGATTACACTGTACATACTTACCTTGGGCCTATATGAATAATAATCACATTCCACTCTCTGCTAAAAAAAAACACAATTTCTTTTGTTAATGTACTCCAGATCTCATCAGCAGAACGCGCCGAAAGCTTAGTTTATAATAATTCTGATTCGAATATTTCCATTATATTTCTATCCCACGTTTCTTTAAAAATTAAATATTTCGTCTCACTAACCTCAAAAAAATGTTTAGACAAAAAAAACTAAAAATGGCGGAAGCTGTGGTTGAGAAGTTTAGAAGATTATATTCAGACTTAGAACAGGTGCAACATCTGATAAAGCAAAATAAAACAATTTCAAATTTTCTCTGAAAATAATGATTTAAAGGAATTGGGATATACATAGATATATAGATATATAGATATATAGATATATAGATATATAGATATATAGATATATAGATTTATAGATATATTTACAAACTGTCAAGCATATTAACATCTCCTGTTTAGGTTATACATTGTACAAATGATGAGTCATGGATGGAGCGGACTCTTGCATGGGGCGGACTCTCCTTAACGTGTTAACCCTTTCAACACAATATTAGACATAAAAAGCAATGTTATGACATTTTCCGATATTTATTAATGTATTTTCATCTGAAAAAAACATTAAAAATTAACTTTGTCTCGAGTAAATATTAATTGTTTTGATGTTTTGAAAGGAAGACGACATTCAAGAGAAAATTACTTTTTTTACCCCATGCAGTCGAGTCCGCTCCATGCACCTACACCGAGGGGGACGGATATATTTCAATATTTATGAAATCGGTCCCTTAATATCTCCATGTTTAGGTTAAAGCACAGTTCTCCAGTTATGATGAGAACCAGGATGGACGGATATCCAGGGAGGAGATGGAGATAGGGATGACAATAAATAAGGTTGGAATTATTAGAATATTTCAGGGTTCAGTGTTAGCGTAGGGTGTTAAACGATTTGGTACAGTAAGAACCATAAAACTCTGGAATAGGAAGACGATGCTTTCAGACTCAAGTTTTGACTTTAAATAGACAAATGAAGAAAAGACATGCAATTGCATGCGGTGTAAACAGACCCATTTTTGGGATTTTTCACAATAAACAAATCGATGTGGAAAATACATCTCTTGTTAAAAATGGTGACGTGTCCCTTTAAATGATCGAAATCAAGATGTTTTGTCTAAAGAGGTCATTGCCCTGTGTTTCATGACCTAAAAGATTCAAACATAACTTTCTAATTAGTTTTGAAGGTCAACTAAAGTAATGAACAAAACAAATATAATTAACAATATAATTAACAATATAATTAACAATATAATTAACAAATATAATTAACAATATTTCTCTAAATTCTAATTTTTGTAATATTTTGAATTTGGGTTAAAAATGAAAAGTGACACATGGAATTGAGGTTTTGTCACAAAAACACATTTTCTTATCCCTGTATCTTTGCAACCGGATGGTGTAAACTTTAATATTTCAAACTAAGATTACCTTATAAACTAGAATTTATAGTTTGAAATATTCAAGGACTATAACAAAAAAAATCTTAATTTTTTTTTCTAAAATAATTGAAAAAATAAAACAAAATGCAATTTTATTTTCCAGGAATTTACCCGAGAACAAGCAAAATATGCTTTTGAGATCGCTGACACTAATGGAGATGGAGAGATTGATATTAGTGAGTTTATTCAGCTCATGTTCCCGTCAGCAAGGGAGCTGGTAGCTAACATCAGGTATATTGGTTAGCGTTTATATCAACACATTGAAGACGACTTTCCAATTACAAGTTTACAAGTAAGTATTTGCTAATTGACATCTTCTCATTGTTTCCATTTTTATGTGTATCCAAGCTGTTAGGAATCCAAATTTAAATAAAAGTCGTCTTCATTTTATTGATATTACGTCGACGACTGTAGAGTGTAGATTACCCAATTCGAAAAAAATGTGTCTGAAAGGGCGCTAATCTGAAAAACTTGATCTTGGTATTTAATACCTGAATAATTGACTTGTTCTTGTTTAGGAAACTGTTTCGAGGACCTGCTGATATAGAGAGGAAGTGACATGTTCTTGTTTAGGAAACTGTTCCGAGGACCAGCTGATATAGAGAGGAAGTGGCATGTTCTTGTTTAGGAGACTGTTTCGAGGACCTGCTGATATAGAGAGGATGTGACATGTTCTTGTTTAGAAAACTGTTTCGAGGACCAGCTGATATAGAGAGGAAGTGACATGTTCTTGTTTAGGAGACTGTTCCGAGGACCTGCTGATATAGAGAGGAAGTGACATGTTCTTGTTTAGGAAACTGTTCCGAGGACCTGCTGATATAGAGAGGAAGTTTAAATCCTGGGATACAGATGGAGACGGAAAACTTTCAATTCAAGAACTCAAGGTTTATATTTAAACTTGTATTCAGCTAGCTAGGACCCACAAAGGATGAGACTTTAAAGTTATTTAGTAGTTTCCCTAAAATTTATGGATCCCTGCATCTTTTTTTGCCAAATCCTGTATATACCATTTAAAGACTCAATTCATTTCAATGATAACATCATAAAATGTCTCAGTATATTTACTTAGAAGATGTCTCCATCGTTTATTTCCAATCTGGTTTGGTTCAACCGTCCACCAATATATACATTTAAAGACTATTTTTATGTCAGATACCCAAGTTCAACCGTCGGAATGATTTATGATATTTTTTAAGAGATTCAGGTCGTTTTAAAGTCTCATCCTTTAGCACCGACCCGACTTAACCCTACCGTACAATGTACAATGTACAACCATGATATTTTGACACGGTACGATTCCATAAGTACTTTACTGTAATGTACAATCATAATATTTTGACACGTTTTGATTAGTGTTTTGCTGTACCGTACACGGTACAATCATAATATTTTGAACCCGTACGATTCCATTATAGTGCTTTACTCTACTATTACTGTATTTTTGACTTGGTAAGATCTTGTTAGGCTTTACTAACCAAAACCATACACGATACTTTTAATAAATAAAATATTAATTGATTTCTTCATTATCTAAAGATCAACTAACTAATTTTATATTATTTTATATTATAGTTTTAAACTTTAAAAATCGCTAGCTCGATCAAAATGAATTCTTGTGTATATAAAAACTGGTAAAAATACAAAATGTCTACGTAATATTTACATTCGTGACTAGTATCTTCTGCAAGAATTGGAGAAATCTCCGAATAACATTTTTTAAATATTTGAGGTATATTTAAAAACTATATGGAGTAAAGATAAATTGGCGATTACTTCGCATTTCAACGGAGACATGACCACTTGTTGAAAATGTTGAAATATATAAATATATATATATATATATATGTTTACTTCATCTATTTATCTTTTATATTTCACTCCTAAAACTAAAATTCTAACTTAACCTGTTTTGCAGTCACTTCGACTGTGCATAAGTTTTGTACATAAATTTAAAAGTTAATTAATCATCAATGCGGAAGAAAGTTTCTTGAAAAATACAGTTTTTGACAAAGTACAATTGGTATTTGTGTAAATAAATGTTTTCCTTTCTCACAAACTGCAAAATAGAAATTATCAAGGTTTGGCGGAAAGAGAGTGGAAAAAATATAAATGAATCGTGGTTGTTTTTGTTTCCTTCCGGTGGGGCCGGAGCAATATCAAATATATTGGTTGAACCTCTTAAATAATTATTATATTGAGAAAAGGACTGTAATTATCTGACTTTTAAATGTTTAGCTTTTATAAAGTTGACCTTCTCGCTTTCCCCCCTCCCCCCTTCTCCATTGAATTCTTAACATATCTAAACTATACATTTTTCTGTCGAGAAATTCAATACTTCTCTAAATAGAAAATGTTGTCAGGAAATGTATTTAGGGGTCGCTTAACGGTCAATTCCTAGACAAATCAAATACTAAACAGTCCGGGGTTATCAATGCATATCATGGGTCATTTAAAAAAATATATTTTATGTTTATGTTTATGTCTTGAAAAAATTAAAACCATTACCATGCATATTTTATTTATGAAATTAAAAAATCTAGAAATTAACTTAGAAAAAAAGATTTAGAAATAGGCTATCCATTTGGTTTGGCTTTCATATTTTTAAAATATGTTAGGGCTCGATTATGTCGTACAGTGGTCCAAAGGTTGCAGCTTTTTATTGAAGTCTGGATCTATGTCAACGGTCAACTGATAAATGGTTAAAAAACTTTACGGTTTATCTATGGATAATGTTAATTAACGGTTTTTAATGGTTTATCTATGGATAATGATAATTAACGGTTTATCTATGGATAATGATAATTAACGGTTTATCTATGGATGATGATAATTAACGATAGTTTAACAGTTTATCTAAGGATAATGATAATTAACGGTTTTTAACGGTTTATCTATGGATAATGATAATTAACGGTTTTATACGGTTTATCTATGGATGATAATAATTAAGCCGAAATAAGAAAAAATAGTGAACAAAATATTCTTTAATTTCTCGAAGCAGAAATTATCATTTTCTGTCTAAAAAATTGAGAATAATAACGAAATTAAAACAATGTATCACTTATCAATCTAGAAAAATGACGATATCTTCCTCATTGTTACTCAGATGTATGTGTTTAAGGGTACCGTTGTGAATTGGTCATGTAGTTTTATTTTATAAAGGTTAACTTAAACAAAAAATCAATGATTTAATTTTGTTCAGGAAGCTACGGAAAAGGAAAACACTAGGGTAAGAGATTTAATTTAGTTGTAAGAATTTGTTATTAGGAGGGGGGGTAGTGGTATTTTGTAATACATTTATTTTTTGGGGGAGGGGGGTATTACACGCAACTATAATTAAACATTTTTCTTAGTTTTTATCGGATGAAGATATAAATGCTATCTATGCTGTGGGAGACCTAGATCTGGACGGAACTATTGATTTCAGGAAAATATTCGAAATCTAAATATTTTTTCAAATTCGTTATGTAAATATTTAATTTCTAGCTCTCCGAAAATAGTAAATGCAAAAATTTAATTTTGGAGCAATAACTCTTCATACAAAGCCTGTATTGTAAATAAATCACGGTGCCACTTGAAATTGTTTTTTGAGACTTTTTTTAAATCGTGAACACTCCCTTTAAGAAAAAGTGATAACCAGAAAACTATGGAATATGAAAACAGCTTTTAGACTCATGTTATAACTTTAAAAGTCAAATGAGCCTAAGACACAGCAATTGTGCAACGTAAGCAAACCCATTTTACTTAATACTTAACAACACTTCAGTATTGCTATAATGACGTCTTCCTATTCCATTGTTTTCTGGTTATCACCATATGACAAATTTTTAAAATGTAAAAAATATTTGCCTGCAGTGAGTTCTCAACTCTGATGATTCCATCAATATCTGATGTTGTCGCAAAATTCAGATATTCTCACAGGTAAACAGTTCACTGTACACTATACAGTACACTGTACACTGTACAATACTCTGTACACTGTACACTATACAGTAAATGTACACTAACACTTTACAGTACACTTTACACTGCACTACATTGTACACTGTACTACACTTACACTGTAAACTGTACTACACTGGACATTGTACTGCACACTACACTGTACTGCACTGCATACTGTACTACACAGTACACTGTACACTGTACTTCAAAGTGCACTGTACACTTTACTACACAGTACACTGTACACTGTACTACACAGTACACTGTACACGGTAATACACAGTACAGTGTACACTGTACTACACAGTACAGTGTACACTGTACACTGTACACTTTACACTGTACACTTTACACTGTGCACTTTACACTGTACACTTTACACAGTGCACTTTTACACTGTACACTCTACACTGTACACTTTACGCTGTACACTTTACACTTTACACTTTACACTTTACACTGTATACACTTTACATTTTACTCTGTACACTTTACACTGTACACAGTACTACACAGTGCAGTACCTACCCTTAACATTTTACACCATACACTTTACACCTATTACTTTACATTTTAAACTTTACACTGTAGTGTACACTGTACACTGCACAATGCACAATTTGTACACTATAATACACTTTAGACTTTAGACTTCATACCTAAACTTAACAAAAGCTTGGGGAACCAGTGCATGCATGCACGAAAAGTAAACTTTTAATTTTTTATATTAGATTCTTTAAATAAACAGTTAATTTTATTTGTTTTATTGATTGAAACTTTTTCACAAATTTTTATAAACGTCTAGCCCTGAAATGAGTGTTTGGCACAAACTCAAATTTTCTAATCCCTTTATCTTTTCAACCTGGTTGTGTTAACTTAGATTGTTTGATCTTAAGGTTTGAAATATAAAAGTTCTAAAGACATTGAGTTGCAAAGATTTAAGGGTTATAAAATCAGAGTTTGTGGCAAATACTCAATTCCTTTATTATGAAATGTGCTGTAGACCCACCGCCCCTCTTTTTCAAAAAGAGCAAATACCCGTGATTGTTTATTTATCCCAACCTTGATTAACCTGGAATAGTATTATCACGGGTGGTTGGTTTTTTAGAAGAGAGGGAGGGGTACATGAAAGGACGGGGCAAATTTAATTTCTTGTTTATATTTAAGAACCGTGAAAGACGTAAAAGCTGCGTTTAAGAAGTATGATAGAAATGCAGACGGTAGTATTAGTAAAGGAGAACTCAACCATGCTCTCACTAACTACAAATTCAACTTCTCAGATCAGGTCAAATCTATATATAGATATAAAGTATTTTTGTTTGTTTGTATGTCCGATCATAACTCATGAACCCATTTACAGGTTTGCCTCAGGTTTGATTAGGGGAACTCAGTAGAACCCCGGAAATATTCTTAGCTTGATTATAAATTCTGATTTGAGTGGGTTGACTTTTATGGGGAAAATTTATTCTCCAGGCAAAGTTGGGTACCAAAGCTATCTTAAATATATTATATACAAGTAGTAATCTCTATTTGTCTGTCTGTCGGTTTGTTTGGATGTCCGATCATAACTCATGAACCCATTGATTGACCGATTGGCCTCAAATTTTGATTAGGGGAACTCAGTAGAACTCCGGAAATATTCTTAGCTTGATTATAAATTCTGAGTTGACTGGGTTGACTTTCATAGGAAAAACTTAGATTCCATGCAAAGCTGGGTTCCCAAACTAGTTTTTATTGTTTTTTTTTTGTCCTCAAAGAAAACATTTTCTAATGAGAAAGATGGACGCGCTTCCCAAACATAAGTAATTGTGATTTTTTTACTAGTACTTGCCATTAACGATTAGCAAATTCTACCCTTTTACATCTTTATCTGAGTACCGATGATAAAGAAATTTTCATTTCCGCAGCTTTTCTATAAAGCGACTTGATGGCAACGATTTTTTGTTGTTTTTTTAAAAATTCATGGTTTGTGTGATTTCTAAAAGATGTGTTTCAAATTTTTATTATTATTTTTATTAATATTCTTTATCTAAATTAGCTTGAAAGGATCAGTTAGAAAAAACGTTCACAATCCTTTTAAGATTAATTTTAAATTTTTTAATTTAGAGAAAAATAAAAATAAAATATTAATAAAATGGTTATCAGGAGGTTGATATAATCTTCAAAGCTGGTGATGTGGACGGGAACGGAGAGATTTGTTTTGAAGAATTCATGTTCCTAATGTGCCCGGATTCATCCACTATCATCAGGTCAAAAGATGAAAAAACTAGATCTTAAAGGGACTGTGAGGTGATTTCAAATGACCATCCACGCAAGGATGTCAATGCTTCACAATGGTACTTTTGAAATCTTTTTCTGATCATTAGTGTGGAAAATATTTTCGTTTTTCTAGAATTTCGAACATTTACATCTTTGCATGCACGGAGGATCACTTGAAATTACGAAACAATTCATGAAACGTTTCATCTTGTAATTTGGTTCAAGTTTTTAACTGATCATTGGCAATTGATTTTTTTTAAAGAAAAACTACTGTTGATATCATCTCTAAAGTATTAATATGATATTTATATAGAAAGTTTCGTGAGACGTACAAGAATATAAACGACGTAAAGGCAGCATTCAAGAAGTTTGATAAAAACAGAGATGGAGCTCTCAGTAAAACAGAACTAGCACGTATGATGTTCAGGTCTGCTCTTTAAATGGTTAATCTATATCGATATAAAGTTGTAATCTCTGTTTTTTCTGTTTGTTTGTTTGTTTGGAACCCCTGGACAGATTTGCCTCAAATTTTGATTTGGGAACTCGAAAAACCACGGGAATTTTCTTAGCTTATTTTAAAAGTTCAATATGGTAGGAGTAAAACCTACAATATGGTAGGAGTGTTAAAATATCTTCTTTTATTCACAACTCGCGGTTATTTTCATTTTCTTATCTGTCTTGAGGTCGGGAGTTGTGTGTGGAGTTTTGTTTATCTTGATTGCTTGATCTCGATATCCAATACATGGGCACTTTTAAATTTTTAGATAAATTACAAATTTCAATTGATTATTAATTTGCAGCACTGGTCACTCGTACACTGATATCGAGGTTGATGCAATCATGAACCTGGGAGATCTGGACGGTGACGGAGAGATAAACCTAGAGGAGCTGGTCACTCTCATGAGCCCTCAAGCATCTGAAGTTATTGCAAAGGATTGTATTTTTTAAATTATTTTATTTTAAGAATTTTTCTTTTATCTTATGTTGGCAATTTTGAAAAATGTTCTCAACACCTCTGATAAGTATTACAAAAGAATTCTATACTTATTATCATGGCTCTCTCTTAGATTTTGTTGGTTCCTTTAATTCTGGATATTTTTTTTGCTGCAAAACTCAATTTCTTTGTTTTCTAACTTTGCTTTTTCTGGATTCCTTTATTATGGCTAGAAACTTAAAATCTCAGAGTTTAAATGTTAGCCTGTATATTACTATACTCCTCGAAGTCAACATTACTATCGATTGATCTGTTCAAAATAAACTATAAGCTGTTGCAATTATGAAACGCTGCGATGATTTTTTATTTTGAGCAACAACGAAAAAAATTATGTTAATATCAATTTCAATTTACAGAGTGTCCCACGAAACATGACAGTTGGTGGATAGTTTTTAATGGCTTCTTCCACATACTGTATTAGATTTTAAAGACTTTTTGCAGTTTATTTCTTTTAAAAAAATGTTTAACTCGTATATATTTTACTTTGAAATCAATTTTACTATAATATATAATATAGTATACTGTCATTTAAAAATTATTATTATTTTTTTATCAAAACTTATCAAATTATGGAAGAAGACATTTTAAACTATTCACCGACTGTCATGTTTCGTGGGACACCTTGTATAATAATTTTTCTCGAAGGTTTCACTAAAACACGGACAAAATACTCTAAGAAAGCCCCGTATTTTATTTTTGAAAATTTAAATTTTCAGTTGGACCTTCTGACACGACTTTAAAGGGACCGTTCACTTATTTGGGTAAATTCAGGGTAAACTTAACAGCCTATTCGCTCTTAATTGGTAATAGTCTTACTTTTCAAAGACAACTGTGGCCGGAGAAAAAGCCGATTTTTCGTTCAGAATTCGAGCGGAAAGGAACGGTCCCTCTCTGTAGACACTATTTGTTTTTTTTTTCAGTAACAGCAGCCCAATAACATTTAAATTTATTACATTTTAATGTTATTATGTGTTCGTTATTATGTACTAAAACATGAAAACTTTTGATATTTGAGTTAGCAAGAAATTTACGTTTTTCGTATTAAAACATGTAAAATGTGTATACAAAGACGACGTCTCTACGACAATCAATTAATCATTACTCGTATTTTGGTTCGTAGATTTTGTAGATTTTGTTCCCGTATATGCACAACTTTTAATTTTTCATGCCGCGTTCAATTCAGCTTTTTACACGGCAATACACAATTTTGAATGCAATAAAATAGTGTTATTTTAGAAATAGAAAGTTAAAAAACTAAAAAAAATTTTAAAATAATGACATTTATAATTAACGATTAGATACTACAGTTTAATTTCATATTCGAAATTTATTTTGATTTACAACATATTGAAAAAAACATCAATTAGTGTCCCTTTGCGCTCGAATTCTGAACAAAAAATCGGCTTTTTCTCCGGCCACAGTTGTCTTTGAAAAGTAAGACTATTACCAATGAAGAGCGAATAGGCTTTTTAGTTTACCCTGAGATTACCCAAATAAAAAAAGCTTAAATGAAATTCAATATTATATTATTTATTGACAAAAATACAATACCATCAGATCCGTAAATCCTTTAAATCTATTGATGAAGTAAAGGAACTTTTCAAGATCATTGACATAGACTCCGATGGACTTCTATCTAAGGTTAAAACTATTTTCGTTTTTCTTCTATATATAAATTTGGCTTGTCTGGGTGTTTGTTTGTTTATTTGTCTGTTTGTATCCAATAAACGTCAAAACGGCTGAACCGATCGGGCCCAAATTTTTTGTGGGACATCACGTGACCACAGGGAAGGTCTATGAATGATCAAAATTTTAAATATTTGTCTCCATCAAAATTCGATCTTCATTAAATTTTTGAAAATTTTGAAAATCCACAAAATTTTTTGTGAAAATCCGCGAATTATTTTTGTTTTGTTTTACAATGTACACAAAGAGAACATGTTTACAATTAATTTAGAAGATGGGCGCGAAGCGCCCTATATGGCTAGTATATGTAAAAACAAGATTAATCGATCCACAGATTACACTGATAGGACAAGATAGATACTTGATGTTTATCTTTTTTTCATAACAACCCCAAACCGTTATTTCCACATCAACCTTGTTAATGGTTACTGATTACAGGAGTATGTTTTAAATATACGATTCTTTTCCTCGTCAAATCTGTATTATCTATGAACGTAATTTAGTTTCATCTGCAATAGATACATTTTTTGTCAATTAACAACAAGACAAAATATTATTTAATTTTCTTTGCATTTCAAAAAGAGTTGATGGTCAGTAGCTTTCTGTTCACACAGTTGTTTTTTTATCATAGAGAAAGGAAACGAAGTGGTAAAGCTTACCTCAGATGTACACAACCGACCTCTCAATTAATTAATTAAAAGAGGGGGTCGGTTGTGTACATTACGATATGTTAACGTATCTAACACTGTACACTTGTATATAGAGTAATCGTATTTCTAAGGGGGGATTTTATGAAACTGATAATTTTTTAGATTTTCTTTCTTTTTATAAAGAGAATTCGAGGATGTTGACTGCACACAGTTGACATTATACAATTATCTCCATTTTAATACCCCCAAGAAATACGATCACTTTATATACAAGTGTACAGTAAACATATCGTGATGAACACAACCGACAACTCTATTAATTAATTAATAGGGAGGTCAGTTGTGTACGTTTGAGGTAAGCTTTACCTCTTCGTTTCCTTTCTCTATGTTTTTTTTTATGAAAGAAAAGTAAAGAATTCTTAAGTCTTTGTTATGGCATGCAGTTTTAGTAGTATCATATATAGAGTTACATCACTGATATATTTTAAAGCCAAATAAAAAGACAAATAATTGTGATGTTTTGAGGTAAAAATGAAATTGAAATTGATCTAAAAGATTATTTTGATAAAAAAATTTTTTCTGTTGAGATGAACAAATTGAAGATTGCTCTTTAAGAGCGCAAATACTTCGAACCTACATAAAGTTGTTGTCGCTAAGGAACAAGATTCTGACGATGAACAGATATAATTTATTGCTATTATGTTCCCATTATTTGTTTAGATATGGGAGAATTAATTGCTATTATGTTCCCATTATTTGTTTAGATATGGGAGAATTTATTGCTATAATGTTCCCATCTGCAGGGGAAGCAATCTCTAAACTCAGTAAATCATTCCCAAACATTGATCAAGTCAAGGTAAGAATTACTCTCAACAGAGATCAAAACTTTTGAGTTTTCAGTCCCTGGATTAAGCGGTTATCCTCAACTTTGGTCATCCGAAGGATTAAATTAATCCTTCTTTGATATCCTGAGGTTGGAACCTAGCAGGGATAACTATGAATTGAGTGATTAAGCACTGATCTCTCAAATTCAAAAATTATCACACCGAATATATCGCACAAAAGTTTTGAACTCTGGATAAATGTCTGAGATAAATTTAGCTTGAAATGTCTTACTTTAGATTGAAAATAGGTCATTTGTAGATTTAGGAACATTCCTCAACTGCAAACTGTTGTCAACTGAAAACTCTGACTTGTCTTAAAACAGATGTTTTCTGCAATCTAATTTTCCTGATGATATTTTTAAATTTTTTAAAGCAGCAATTGATTTTGAAAAGGATTTTTTTTAACTTGTTTAAGCATCTTTATTTTAACAATTATGCTACTAGAATTTATGATTTTCTTAATGGTGTTCCCATAGATATCAGCTTGATTTTGATAATGATTTTTCTAGAAATTGCTCAAGCAGCTTGATTAATGATATTTCTAGAATTTGTTCAAGCAGCTTGATTTTGCTAATGATATTTCTAGAATTTGTTTAAGCTGATTGATTTTGATTTAAATATTTCTAGAATTTGTTCAAGCAGCTTGATTTTAATTTGAATATTTCTAGAATTTGTTCTAGCCGCTTGACTTTTATATCAATATTTCTAAAATTTGTTCAAGCAGCTTGATTTTTATTTGAATATTTCTAAAATTTGTTCAGGCAGCTTGAGTTTGAGAATAATATTTCTAAAATTTGATCAAGCAGCTTGATTTTTATATCAATATTTCTAGAATTTGTTCAAGCAGCTTGATTTTGATAATGACGGGTTCATCACAAAGGCTGAAATGGGAGAAAGTTCCCATAGATTTTCTCCCCAGGTAACAGGATCTGTATAAAATGGTTCCCATAAAACTGAGAAAAGGAAGACGATATTTAAGCAATCTTATTTGTATTTGATGTTGTTTGTATTATCAGTAGCTTGAAGTTAACCTTGTTAAGTGAAATGGGTCTGGTTCACAGGTCAGTTCAGTGGATTAATTAAAATCATAATTTTAGTTAAACAGTCGTCTTCCTATTACACAGTGTTATTGGTCTGCCTGTATTATGTATACTCTAAGTTTAAAATTTGTATAATGTTAGTCTAAAATTACAACTATCGAGCAATATTTTGCAAATTTCTTCTTTAAAGCTTACGTTAGAAACAAGGGAGTTGAATTGTTTAACTGTATAATATATGAATGAAAAATATAAGTGAGTTGAGCTGAAAACTTAAGAATGGGATATCCTTAATCCCGATTGGTTAATTAATCTGGAGATTAATAACAAGAGGAGAACAAGCATCATTTAATCTCAAGATTAAGAAAAAGAGTGGATCAAGCAATAATCCTAATATCCACCATTCAAAAGTTCACAGCTCTGGTAAGGTAAAACTAAAGTCCCGGGAGTCCAGACTCCAGGCTGTGTAAAAATTTGATGACTAACTTTCTGTGTCTGTGTTTCAGGAAATTGATTCTATTTTTGCACTGGGAGATATAAATGATGATGGTGCTATAGATCTTGAAGAATTTATTGGTGTAATGTATCCTTCAGCTAGCACTGTTGTTAATAGACTCAGGTAAGGATATTCAGGGCTAGGAGCAATATAAGGATGATATAAGATCTAAGGCTAAGATATGCGATATTTTGTACAACTGGAGTACATGACCGATCAGAGCCGGCGATTTGAAAAATTCAAGATAATACGACTCAGGTCTAAGCTGTCGTTGGGTCTTTTTTACGACTTGAGCTTTCGGATTTTAGTTGCATCTAATTTTCCAAAGACTTGAGTTCATAAAACCGATTTGATATTGTATTTGGCGGATTTTTAAGGTATGAATTGGCGCATTCCGTGTATTGAAGAGAACAAGACTCCACATTGAGCCTTATTCTCCACTAAAACCAACCAAGGTCGGTCTTATTTTCATTTGGCCTAACTCCTTAAGTCGAGCCGAAGATCTTGCAGCTGGCAATTACGTGGTACAAGCTGTCGTCAGAGTTGGATCTAAGATTGGGTCTAAAAGTCAGGTTTAAGGAATTACTACCTGAACCGAAGTTTTTAAATCGCCGGCTCAGCAGCAATAAAACGGTCAAAAACACTTTGTGGCACCAATATAAGGGACGAAAAATCGTCTTTATACAACGAAAAATGGTTTTTTTTAAGCAAAAGTTGGATGAATGTATTTTTGTCAGATACAACTGATTTTTTTGTCGCTTTTTTACATTAATCCAACTTTTGCATCCAATTAAGATTTTTTTATTTCGAATTAGAGTACATGTAGTGGCCAGTACAAGTACTAGTATGGTCCATATTCGTAGAGCTAGTTTATTTTATAAACAAACAACAGATAGTTAATAGTTTTCACCAATTGTGGTTATACCGAATTCAAACCATTGTTTACCATTTTTTTATGATAAAACTAGCTCCCCTACTATGACACTGTTTGACTCATAACCCCATATCTCCCACCCACTCCAAAGTTTTATAATCTTCATTAAAAGCAGATATACCTTTATTATAGCCTGTCAGAGAATTTTTTATTATCAATAAAAGTTTTACCAAAATTCTAATCAAGTTTAGGGAAGAATTCAAAATAAACTTTTAAATCTCTGCGATAATGAAGAGACAATTATTTGAAATTATCAATTTTACAATTACGGTAGTTTAAATGTATCATGACTTTTTGTAAGATACGAATTCTCGTAAATGTACCAAAAAACCTAAATTGAAATATTTGAATTAGGGCGAAATATCACAATATGAACGAGGTGAAGCGAGCTTTTGCTGGAATTGATAAGAATGGTGACGGATTGATCAGCAAGGAGGAAATGTATCAATGCGACACTTTTAACTCACAGGTGGGAATTTTAAATTTTTATCCCTAGGGACAACATTATCTTCCTGGTTCATTTCGGCTTAATCATTTAAAAGGAACTAATAATTCAATTCTCATATTCTTATTTTAAGTTTTGAACTTGCAATTTGACTTAAAGACCTTTGTGATTATTTCAAACTATGAATTCTACTATTATGAGCAATCAAGATGTTTATTTTTATTTTTGATCGAAATATATCCATTAAGAAAATCTCGCAAAAATATTATGTTATGAAAAGCAACATTCACAAAAGAAGTAAATTTAAAAAATCAAAATCAAATCAAAAGCTGAATACAGCCCATTAGTTTGTTTTTGAATAATCTAAAAATTGTTTGATTTCTCGAGATTATGTCAAAATACATGGTTTTCCGCTATTGACCTTATTTGTGTCCAGGAGATTGAAGCTTTGTTTACCCTGGGTGACTCTAATAATGACGGTGAGATTGATCTGGAAGAATTTATTGGAGTTCTGTATCCTGTAGTCGCACAAGCACTTCTCAAATTCACTAAAGGTCAGTTCTGTATCCCGTAGTCCCACAAGCACTTCTCAATTTCACTAAAGGTCAGTTCTGTATCCCGTAGTCGCACAAGCACTTCTCAATTTCACTAAAGGTCAGTTCTGTATCCCGTAGTCCCACAAGCACTTCTCAATTTCACTAAAGGTCAGTTCTGTATCCCGTGCACTTCTCAATTTCACTAAAGGTCAGTTCTGTATCCCGTAGTCGCACAAGCACTTCTCAATTTCACTAAAGGTCAGTTCTGTATCCCGTAGTCGTACAAGCACTTCTCAAGTTCACTAAAGGTCAGTCCTGTATCCTGTAGTCGCACAAGCACTTCTCAAGTTCACTAAAGGTCAGTTCTGTATCCCGTAGTCGCACAAGCACTTCTCAAGTTCACTAAAGGTCAGATCTGAAAATAATTCTGAAGAAGCAGTCCTCAAATCTGCTGATTTCAAAATACGAAATTTGGAAATTCAAATCTAACGAATCACGAAAAAATAGTAACTGAATAAATAGAGTACCGATGGAATTTGAATTTTTCTTTTTTTGGAATAGTAATAGTAATACATACAATGTTTAAACCATGAATATATAACTTTTAGCGATGTTTTATTCATTTGGAATATTTTATCTAACAGATATTAAGGATATTTTAAAAGTTTCAGCTGGACAAACTTAGTGTAAAAAAAAGTTGTTTTATTATTTTGTTATAGATTCCTAAAAAAATGCTATTATTCTCACAAAATATTCGCAATTTCGAAATCATTTTGTACTTTCTAAACCACAAAATCAAACATTTTCAAATTATAAACAACTCTACATTTAAAACTTTATATTAAGAGTTTTATGTCAAAGAATGGAGAGGAAGGATAACTATGTGTTTAAGATTAAACTTGCTTTCTCTCTCTCTAGTTAGTAACATATGGTCAGTTAGGAATGTTTTACAGTTTTTTATTTGAAGTTTTACACTCACACGGGCATTTATTCAACTTTAAAGGAATATCTTTTAATTTCCTGCATGTCAATATTAAGTCATTTATTTTTGAAGATTATTAATTTAAATATTGAGTATTTTTAATCAATATTTTTTATGGAAATTATTCTTTACAAAATATGTCGTCTTCACTGTATTAAATCTGGAAAATGCTATCTTGAAAAGGGATAAAAATTCTCCAAAATACAAAATATTATAAAAAATTAAATATGAAAATTTAAATATCCTTTTTAAACTGTAAATTAATGTGGTATTAACATTTTGCTTTACTCAGCTACAGAGCGTCTCATATCATATCAGATTATCTTCAAGCTATAACGCCAAAATACGCGCATAATACTCAAAATACCCTGGTATTTTCTCCAATAAAACTTTTATAGAAATGATAATAATGTTACCCGCCGGATACCCCTGGGTTCCCTCAAAAAATGTCACCCCATTCGGTCCAACCAATTGGCCGGCTAAAGGAAACATATATATACTATAGTGTCTCTTGTTTTATTATATAGAAGATAGATAATAATAATAATAATAATAATAATAATAATAATATTTATAATAAAAAAATAAAAAAAAATAGTAATAGTAATAATCATAATAAGGATAATGAAAATAATAATAATAATAACAATAATATTAATGTATTTAGATATTCACAATGTTGAGGATGCTAGATTTCTATTCAAACAATTAGATAAGGTAACAAATCATATACAATTTACATATTTACTTAGATCGGAAAAAGTCGCATATAATTAAAAAAAAAAACTATTAAATCAAAATAGTGTAGTAAACAATATAAAAAATTCCCATTGTTTTAACGAGAAAAAACAATAATTAAGTTGATAAAAGATAATTAAGAATTCTAAATAGTGTTGTCTCTTTTTCATCAAAAAAGTGTTAATTATTTTAAAAATTGTTTAAATCTCCGGGCAAAGCTGGGTTCCCGAGCTTGTAATTAATTAATTCATTCATTAACGAAAACCCTCTAACTGAAGCATATGTTTATTTGGTGACATTTTATCGGCCTTTTAACTTTGCTACCTTGTAACTCCTCCAGCTATCTTTTTACGCAAAGAGCGACAAAAAAGTTTGTTTGTCTATCTATGTATATCAGAACATTAAAACTGTATATTTCATATTAATAGTTCTAATAAGCCCAGAAAGATATGTTCAAAAACCTGCAAAATATCGAATTAAAACTAAATAACCTTTAGATTACTGTGCCTATGACTCCGATGGACTGCAAACTAAATAAACCTTAGATTACTGTGCCTAGGACCCCGATGGACTGCAAACTAAAACTAATTAAGCCTTAGATTACTGTGCCTAGGACTCCGATGGACTGCAAACTAAAACTAAATATACCATAGATTACTGTGCCTAGGACTCCGATGAACTGAAAACTAAAACTAAATAAACCTTAGATTACTGTGCCTAGGACTCCGATGGACTGTTGAGCCAAGAGGAATTGAGAAAATGTGGAACCACTTTCAGTTCAAAAGAGATTGAGGTTAAAATTTAAAAGAATGAAATGAAATGATAATGATATTCGTATATTTTATAATCCAATTTATTTATAAATTGTGTGCTGAACCACTAGAGTTTCAGTAGAAGTAAATATTTCCATTTACTATTATAGCCGCGATATAAGGATTCATAACTCTTATTGGATAATGAGTTAGATAGAAAGATAGATGTTACCGCCATGCAATTTCTATTGGTTCAGAATAGACACCAAACACATGGCTAAACCCTGATTGGATCAGCATACTAGAATATTTTCAGAGATTTATCATTTTACAAATTGTTTCACTGTTTTCTGGTTTTGCATTTCATGGAGGAGTCTATAGAAGTTGTTTTTATGTGTTTTTCAATAAAAATACATTAATAAAAATCCGCAAGTGTCATAACATTGCATTTGATATCTAAAATTGTATTAAAATGGTTAAAACACTATGAAAGCAGGAGTGAAATGTTTTCAGAACTATATTTTATATTTTTAATTAAAATTAAAAAGAAATAAAAATGTACCACATAATTCGACATTATATAATATCATTATAAATGACGATATTTGATCCAATAATCTAGGCTCTGTTTGCTGTTGGAGATATCAATAGTGATGGAGAGATTGATCTAAATGAGTTTATCAACGTGATGTGTCCTGGAGCAACAACAGTGATCAGTAGAATCAGCGCAGGATTCAACGGAGTTCAAGATATTAAGGTACTTAACTGTACTGAACTGTACTGTACTATACTGTACTGTACTATACTGTACTGTACTGTACTGTACTGTACTGTACTGTACTGTTCTGTACTGTACTGTGCTGTACTGTACTGTACTGTACTGTACTGTACTGTACTGTGTACTGTACTGTACTGTACTGTACTGTACTGTACTGTACTGTACTGTACTGTACTGTACTGTACTGTACTGAGCAGGCTTATGATATTTCCAAGACGTACTATTCAGCAGTTTCTTAAGCATTTTTTATTATCTCTAGCATTTTTTTTCTTTCTAGAAATGTTTTGAAGAAATGGACACAAACTGTGACGGGAAGATTAGTAGATGTGAGATGGCACAGTACAGTCACCTCAATGAACAGGTTTCTAATTTATAAATGTATAAAAACTAGATTTAAATTGTTTCACGCTCCAATATTTTTTAGATTGAAGCTTTTAAATTTTTTCTCTTTTCAAGGATAGACTCAATAAAAAATATTTTGAGTCAATTTTTTAAAATTCTGACCTAAAAAATTCTCTAACAAATTGTCTATATAGGACAATAATAGACAAATAAATAAACAGAAAAAAATCTTTGATTGAACTGAGAGATGCAGATAGATTTATATAATATATATAGATAAAAAGATGTTTATTAAAGAGATTTTAATTTTTTTTTAAAGTAAATGCTGTATTTGAACTGAGAGATGTGGATAGATATATATTATATATATAGATAAATAAAGATATTTATTGAAGAATTTTTTAATTTTTAGGAGGTAAATGTTGTATTTGAACTGAGAGATGCGGATAGATATATATAATATATATAGATAAATAAAGATATTTATTGAAGAATTTTTTAATTTTTAGGAGGTAAATGCTGTGTTTGAACTGGGGGATGCGGATAGGGATGGAGAAATTGATCTTCAAGAATTTATTGGAGTTATGACAACCTCTAGTCCTGTAGCATACAAGGTACTGGGAATATTAAAAACCACATGATAAAAAACTTATCTAATTAATGATTTTGTAATCATTCAATTTTTAGTTTCCTCCAACTTTAATTTTACCAGGAAAGGACCAAGTTTAAATTTTTTAACCCATTCTCTTTACAACCTGATCATGATGTTTTGAAGCAGATTGCAAAGTATGAGGAACTGGAGTCGCAGAATTTTACTCTGGTCATTAGCTCAAAAAAAATATATTTATCACCTAAAGAGGAAAGCAGTCCTTATTTATTTCAAAGAATGTTAACCCTGACATATTGCAAGTTTCCGGGACATTGAAAATAGAATCCAGGCTTTAAAAAACTGTAATGTGACTTATATATTCATCATATAGTAAACTAATGAATGTCTAGGAAGCTGGAGAAGTAGTTACTGTTGGAGACATGGAAATCTACAAGGTTGGAGAGGGAGTAAAATGCATAATCTGGTGCCATGATCTTGCAGGGTTCTCAGGTAATATATTGATCATGATCTAGCAGGGTTCTCAGGTAATATAATGATCATGATCTTGCAGGGTTCTCAGGTAATATATTGATCATGATCTAGCAGGTTTCTCAGGTAATATCATTATCATGATTTAGGAGGATTCTCAGGTTATATAATGATCATGATCTAGCAGGGTTCTCAGGTAATATCATGATCATGATTTAGCAGGGTTCTCAGGTAATATCATTATCATGATTTAGGAGGATTCTCAGGTTATATAATGATCATGATCTAGCAGGGTTCTCAGGTAATATAATGATCATGATCTAGCAGGGTTCTCAGGTAATATATTGATCATGATTTAGCAGGGTTCTCAGGTAATATAATGATCATGATTTAGCAGGGTTCTCAGGTAATATCATGATCATGATCTAGCAGGGTTCTCTGGTAATATCATGATTATGATTTAGCCGGGGTTCACAGGTAATATAATGATCATGATCTAGCAGGGTTCTCAGGTAATATCATGATCATGATTTAGGAGGGTTCTCAGGTTATATCATGGTCATGATCTAGCAGGGTTCTCAGGTAATATCATGATCATGATCTAGCATTGTTCTTAGGTAATATCATGATCATGAGCTAGTATGATTTTATTGCGCCCTATACGTCTAGAATTTCTGTCTATTGGATAATTCAGTTAAAACATTATCCAGTTTGATATCTTTTAATCCTGAATCAAGTGAGACATTAAATTTTGAATTAAATGACTCATCAGAGCTGAAAACTTTAGAATGGGATATCCTTAATCCCGATTTTTTATTTAATCTAGAGATTATTAACAAGAGGAGTACAAGCTATATTTAATCTGGAGATTAATAAAAAGAGGAGATCAAGCAATCATATCAATATCCACCATTCTAAAGTTTTCAGCTCAGATCACTTACTGGATAATAAAGCATTAATTCAGAACGATAGCCTCTAGTGTAAATAAATCAAATGTTATGCAGGTGTCGTAAGTAAATGTTGAATCAAATATCGTCGTGTGGTCGAAATAAGATTGGCTTTGTGGAATTTTAAAAACCTTAATAACTTTTCGTTTCAACAGTTTCTTAGCAAAGATTAAATGAAAATGTTGTTCTATCAATAATTTGTATCTCTTTTACTAGGGGCGGATCGGACTCGTCAGCTGGTGGATAAACTGGCTGCCTTGGGATATCTCATCCTTATACCAAACTTCTTCGGGGATAAAGATGTAAGTTTAGATTTTATTGAAAACTAGGCTTTCAGAGCAGGGGCGTACGAGGGGGGGGCCGGGCCCCCCCGCCCCCCTCTACGCGTGCCCCCCCTGAGAGACTGAGAGGGGGCACCCATGAGGGAGGCTCTTTTAATATTACATCTGCTTGCATTTCCCTTCCTCAGGCCAGGCACAGTGGCGTACCTAGGGGGCAGTAGTCATGTTGCCCCCCCTGGGAGTTCCAGTAGTCCTGTTGCCCCCCCTGGAAAATACAAAATTAAAAGGAAACTACGTTTAAAAAGTAACACCTGACAATGACAAAGACTAAGGATTTGTCTGAATTCATTGTTAACACAAGGAGAGAAAAGTTTTAGCCTTCTAAAGAGAATACTTCATTACACATACTTCATGTACTATGACGGAGAGCAGACTTAACGATCTTGCACTTAAAGCTTTACACCCTAAAAGGCTGTCTGAGCTCTCTAGTGAAAAAATCATTGAAATGTTTGTGCAAGCAAATCCCAGAAAATTGTAGCTTAAAAGAAATGGTGAATATGAAGATTGTGTAAATTCTATCTAAAAATTTCAGAAGAAATTTCGTTTATTAGTAAATTGTGGGGGCGCAAATTGTGCCCCCCCCTAAACAAAAGCCCTCGTACGCCCCTGTTTCAGAGAGCGCTTCGCGCCTATCTTCTATTTCAATTGTAAACATTTTTCTTTGTATACATTGAAAAAAATAAAAAAGTTCGCGGATTTTGTAAAAACATTTGGTGGGTTTTGCAAAATTTAATGAAATTCGAATTTTGTTGGAGGCTAATTTTTGAAATTTTGATCATCCATAAACCTTCCCTGGGGTCATGCGAGGTCTCACAAAAAAATTGGGCCGGATCGGTTCAGCCGTTTTTGACGTTTATTGGATACTAACAGACAAACAAAGTAAATATATAGAAGCATTTATATGTTTTTGGACGCTTAAAATTATTAATTATAACAGTAACTTATGTTTGTGTTCGTCATTTAAACTTGATAAATCAAGGAATCAGAAACTGTATTTTGAATTTTGAATTTTGAAAAGGGTTTAATTTTTGAAAATCATATTTCAAATGAGTTAATTAAACTGACAACCTGTACTAGGCGCAAATATCTTTTTATACAATTTTTGCTTTTAACTTTTCCTCTTCATTTAGACATTTGTCATAGAAATTTAAAACTAACAAAATAGTTTCCAGATTTTTCTGTTTTAATTGGTGTACTCTAAAAATAATGAATGTCGACATTTTTTTCCTGGCAAAATTTTTTTAACATTGCCTTCCATTAGTATTCCTTGTGAAGTTGTGATTTCCAAGACAAATATATTGACCCCTTTTTGACGTTTATTGGATACACACAAACAAACAAACAAACAAACAGAGAAACATAGAGAAAAGTCAATATATTTTTATAGTAAAAATTCGGCAATTACAGGGCATTATATAGCTTCAGGGGACCTTAGTACTAATAGAATAGATATATACATAATATATATAGATGTAAATTTTTACAACAATGAGCTGTAATGAAACCGTGCAGAGAATTAAAAAAATCGAAAACTACCAAACCATGAATACACATTTACAGTGTGGATCTCTAGCTGACACACAGTGGGTGAAATCTGTATCTGACTGGAGCACAATTAGGTATTTTTAATTATATACTTAAAGTAAAGAGTTACTCAAAAAGAATAATACTTCAGAGACGACTTATACATAATTTATTCTTATCTTAACAGGTCACTGCATCTGTTAAGGAATTGAGTCTTTGATACAAACTTTGATTCTTTTATGCTTCATCTTTGCAACCCAATGACGTTTATTATTTCAAAATATGATTTAGAAAATTTGATATTGTGCCAAAGACTCAATTCTTTTGTCTCTTTCTTTGCTAAATATTTTAGTATACTTTTAGATGATATTTATTAGGCACGGCAGGTCCCTGGTTCAATTAGATTAGCACATTTAAATTGTTTTTGGTAACCCTGTATGTTTTTTATATGAAAACTACAAAACAAAAAAGTTAAGATTATCTTTTAAACTAGGGATACATGGGTTGAGAGGATATATCCTTGGCTTAGGGATCATCTCGGAGTAAGGTAAATGTACAACAAATTTTATCAATGAATTGAGTCTCAAATTAAGCCTCAAATTTTCTAATTCTATATCTTTGAAACCTGATGGTGTAAACCTTTGATATTTCAAACTTAGATAATGTAATCTAACAGAATTCATGAGCTTAAAATTTACAAAGTCTACGACAATGCAAAAATCAGAGTTTGAGGCAAACACTCAATTCCTTAAAATTTTTGTTTGCTATTTATATATTTATATTTGTATATATACATTTATATAGATGTGTTAGTGTGGTTGGTACTGGTTGGGGTGCATATACAGCCTGCAGACTAGCATCATATATTTATATTTGTATATATATATAGATGTGTTGGTGTGGTTGGTACTGGTTGGGGAGCATATGCAGCCTGCAGACTAGCATCATATATTTATATTTGTGTATATATAGATGTGTTGGTGTGGTTGGTACTGGTTGGGGAGCATATGCAGCCTGCAGACTAGCATCATATATTTATATTTGTATATATATATAGATGTGTTGGTGTGGTTGGTACTGGTTGGGGAGCATATGCAGCCTGCAGACTAGCATCATATGGAGAGGTTAAACTTCAATAATTTTCACTTCTAAATCTTTTAGAAAACTAAATTTGTCATTTTATTGTTAATAATTTGAATAAATTTTCAACAAAAATCTCAGGAATTAGTTTATCTTCAAATACGACATTTTGCAGCTATTTTCATTGATTTAATTTTTTTACTAGTCTAAACAGCAAACAATGTAGAAAGAATTTGGAGTAAAACAAAATTTATAAAGTTTGTCTCTATTTTCTAGTGTCTAATAAACCTAAGGCCGAATTTAATGAATTTGAGCCGCGTCTTTAATCCGCCAAAAAACCGGTTTTAATTGAGCGCCGGCTTAAATCTTGAAAATTTAAATACGATCAATAGCCTCGTTTTAAATTTAAGCCGTGTCTCAGATTCTTTAAATTCGGCCTCGGGTGGTCTAAATAAGTAAATTTTGTCTTTCTCTCTTATTTTTTACACAACAGAATCTTATGTTTTCAGGTGGTTATTAAAGTTTTATTCTGTTCATGTTTATCCAGGTTAATGCTGGAGTTCTTCTGGAACCTTCTATCAGCCATGTTGTTGAGGCTCTTGCTGAGGATCTTTACGAGGTAAAGTGTTGTACAAGAAATTGTACCTGGTACATTTTACAAGTATACCAATGTATATGTTACAAGCAACAACTTTATTCAATTAATTGAAGAATGTTTTTGTACTATACTAATAAGCTAGTATAGCATTCTTGACTTAGTTCATTTTTGTAGTTGTATATCTGTTCTTTTTTTAACGTTATCATATTGACCAAATTATCGTGTGAGGCTTACAAAAGTTTTGATATTTTAGTTTAAAGTTTCAAAATTAAATTTCAAATAAAGTTCGAAAGATTTAAAATATTTTTTAGATTTTAAAACAGTTCTTACACAAAAAAAACAGCTTAGACATTTTGAACTTTGAGAGTATTAGATTACCAGAAAAAGTAATTTTAGGGAGAAAAGGAAAAAAATTACTTAAATCAATCCGAATTAGAAATGTTTTTATCCAGGAAAGTACAAGTTCAACTTAATCCGTTGAGTTAGAGGTTCTCACTTCTGTAATTATAATTTTCTTGTTGTAGATATATGAGGAGGTATCCTGTCCCCAGCTTGTGATAACTGCTAGAAATGATTGTCCCAATGAGAAGCTAAATGGACTTGCATACAGGGTTTTCCAGTAAGTATACTATGCATCTGTAATCTGTATATATAAAGTAGTAATCTCTGTTTGCCTGTTTGTCCGATCATAACTCAGGAATCCCTGCCTAAAATTTTACTGAAGAACTCCCATGCAGGGAATGTTCTTAGCTTGGTTTAAAATGTCTAAATTGAGTAGGTTGAATATTTCAGAAAAAGTTTTGTTTCCAGGCATAGCTAGGTTTCCAAGATAGTATATATATATATATATATAACTAGTAAAGAATGTAATGAAAGTCGTCTTTGTTAAAAGTTTAAGATAAACATGTGATTTAATGATTTTGTAATTTGTAATTTTTTTTGCCTTTTTTATATTTTTAAATGGTCACTATAGGTGAAGTAAATGTCCTACTCCTTGATTACAATGAGAGAGTAATTAGTTCCCCGTCTAAACGAACGAGATACGAGATTGTGTCTTTTGATTTGACATCACCAGACATCTCTCCTCTTTCATTTCTAGGCTCGTACATAATTATTCTTGTTATTCTATTTACTCCATTGGTATTTTTCCTGTTTCCCACATCTCATCAGCTCTCTTTCTGTTTTCTACTGTCTCAAAACTATCTGTATATGTAACCTTTAACCCATCCATATCATGGGATAGCTGGCGTTCCAGTACTGCCTTAATCTCATTTTCATGCTGCAGCTTCTCAGGCATAAAAAATAGGCATTTAGCCTTCAGCTCTACACTATCCATACACCTCAGCATTTCATTTTTGAATCCTACCAGGTTCCTCTTGTCTGGTGCGGTTGCTTGTTCCCATAACTTCATCTTGTCAGTATAATATTTCCTGGGTTCTTCATCTCTTCCCTGTTTCCTGTCCAAATATTGCTGTTTCCGTTCTTTCTCGCTTTTCTCTTGTGATATTTTCTTCAGCAGCTCCGCGAAAAAACTCCTGTTTCTTAAATGCTAACCCTGTAGAACGAAACAGCACTATCTCTTTTCTAGCTGATCCGTGATGCAGGACTGTTTTCCATTTATAGTTAATTAGCATGGTTTCCAAATTCTTGCACCAATTAAACACTTTCTCAGGGTTTCTCTTTAAAAATCACGCTAATTCCACACATCTCAGCGTATATACTCACTACTCGAAGGGTTGCTCTCCCAGTTTCAACTACATCCTTAAGATATTTTTGTGCCTCATCCTGCATCTTCTTCTACTGCTCCGACATTGTTTTCACTCTTTCAATTTTTACCACTGTTTGTATCTTTAGCTTTCATTGCTCTATCTTCTGTATTATGATTTGACACTCTGTGTTTGTGATTTTTACGGTTCCGTTTTTTCACTGTTTGCATCTCCTTTATAAATATTTCCCCTGCAGCTTCATATTCTCCATATTTGGTATTCTGTTCATTCTGTAATCTGTATACTCTGGTATCCGATTCCTCACTAGGTACTTTAGGGTATACAATCTAAAACTGGTCCACTGTAATACTCTTGCACCTAGTTCATTCTGGTACTCTATACATTCTGGAATTCTGTATACACTCTGTTACTCTGTACACTCAATGCCAAACCAATGGGTACGATCTTTATAGTCTTCAATGTCAATCTGACATACGCATACAACTATCAATGCCAAACCAATGGGCGCGATCGGAAAAGCTTCAATGTCAACCAGACATAAGCACACTAACTATCAATGCCAAACCAATGGGCACGATCTCATAGGCTTCAATGTCAATCTGACATAAGCACACAACTATCAATGCCAAACCAATGGGCACGATCTCATAGGCTTCAATGTCAATCTGACATACGCACACAACTATCAATGCCAAACCAATGGTCACGATCGCATAGGCTTCAATGTCACCTAGACATAAGCACACCAATATAGAAGTGCAACTAGGACTTTTGCTAGGGGGGGTTTTTTAAAACTAACTATAGTATAATAAAATTTCTACAATAACTCTATTGGTTTTCTTATTCCTGTGATACTGATTTTCCCCATTCTTTCTTTCTTTTCATTCTGCAGGGGGGCGCCCCCCCCCTCTCAGGTGCTAAGGGGAAGGCGCCTCTGCACCAATATCAATGTCAAACCAATGGGCACGATCTCCTATCTCGTTCGTTAAGACGAGGAACGAATTAATCTCTCATTGTAATCAAAGCAGAGTATTTTCCAGCTAATGTTTCCATATCCCTATTCCGAGCTATTGAGCTCACACTGGTTACATCCCCGTTTGATTCTGTCATCATTAATAATAATTATTGATCACAGAACCTACACTAATGTGTATTTAGATATCTATGTTACAGATTAACTCTAACATATGTATTTACAGGAATTGAGCAGATATATATAAGCGTAGTTAAGCCAGTTACTGACGTATAAGTTATATGTTATCACAATACATGTTTTGACATATTTACAGACGTTACTATAGGCTAGGCTAATTGCATTACAAGTTTTGCGTAGTTAATGATAAGCACATTTGGATTTACAGACAACGTACAACGTAATATATCTATAGTATCTTCAGGTTAACAAATATGGGGATTCCTGTATTTATTACAAAGGTACATTATCAGATATATATATTATATATCTATATATAAATTTGGCTTGTCTGTCTGTTTGTCTGTCTGTCTGTCTGTCTGTTTGTATCCAATAAACGTCAAAACGGCTGAACCGACGGGCCCAAATTTTGTGTGGGACATCTAGGGACTCCAGGGAAGGTTTATGAATGATTGAAATTTTAAAAATTTGTGTTTTAGAGGTTTTTAATTTTGTAAAAAAATTTAAATTTTTGAAAATCCGCGAATTTTTTTTTAAAATC